CTTACTTCTTTCTTCAGCATATATTAAAAAGGGAAATTTGAATTATCATTCGCAAAACTATCCACAGACGTGTTTGCACATTATTTATTCACCACTCCTTTTACTGCAAGAGCTGGTTAGAACGGGCCACAAAACCATGTAAAATTGAAAGTTCCTGGATAACCGCATTTTCCATTTCCTGTGTGGATACAGTGGTTGAATAATGTAGTACCCCACGCCAATTTTTTTACTATTCCAAAAGTTTCAGAGAATATTAGGTGTAGCAAAGAACGGTTGAAGCCAGCAGTGCATTAGAAGTGTCTTCATTATCAGCATTTAGCAAAATATGGGTCCTCATATTTTGTCATCTTAAATATAGGAGATAAAAGTTCTTAAAAGCCTTATTTTAATGCGTTTCTCTTGAAGGCTCCAGATATTTGCCATCGGACCCTACTTCTATGCAGTATTAAATTCGTTTGGTGAAACTACCACAAAGAGAGAAGACTAGGAGTGGGATATTGCGAGGATTGTAATCTGGCACTGAGTGAATCGTTCAACAAACCTGATAGTATGAGGCAGCTTTGTGTTTACTACAGGGATAAAAAGTACTTACCCCCTGTCCCAATCAAACCCGTGCCATGTATAGTACACGTGTACGCGCATCGCATGAGCGAAACTTCTGCACATCCTAGTCAGACATAAGCAAGTAGTAGTAGAGGCAGACAAGCCTGTGAGGCAGTTAGCCATTTTATTTATGTTTTATGCGACGATGTTTTGAAAGGTCCTCGTATACAGGCGCCCAAGGCATAAGGAATATGGTCAGCTGAGGGTAAGAATAAGGACCACATTAAAAATAGGCAGTATGATGCAAGAAGGGATACCTTCACGGCACATCAAAATTAAGTAAAGCACCATTCTCTATTTATTCGTCAGGTTGCGAGTCCAGTTTAATTTTTAATTGGAACAAATTTAATGGATTAGAATATCGCTTAAAACGTTCAATCACTGCATTTCCGAACGTCGCACAAAAATCGTATTTTTAAATTAACAGGATCCAAGTGCTACGACGAGGCTAGGCGTCGCACCAAGACGTTTATGCGCCTTCATTTTACCACGGAGTCAACAAGAAAATCTCTCTAAAACAAACTTTCGAACCTATTACCACTTCTATCGCAGAGCAAAAAACAGTAAAATCTGTAAACAAATGACTAGCTTGTCTTGCTGCTGATGTTTTTGTTCACTTTTAATTCTGAGCGCTACTGAAACCGAAAACATTTTAAGTAGTGTAAAGGAAATTCAACCTGATGTATGTTTCAGACACCCTATTTAACTTATGAAACACTGACCTTTAATTGCAACTGGTCGGGATAACAACCAGCGTAATGAAATCTGCACTTAGGAGTCAGATTACTCCACTAGCGAATTGACAGTTAATGGCATTTCCACCTCTGGAAAGTGCAAAAAAACTAACAATTGGACGGTGAGTCACAAAACTCGTGTAAAAGTCACTTCGGTCGACGCAAAGCCGTAAAACGCCCAATAATTTAGGCTTTACGTACTCCATTCAGAAATGCGTCGACATCCGACAGGGCAAATAAAAGCCGTCAGTAAGGCAAAAGCATTAGCTGCAGCGGAGTATTTGATGTTAAAAGACCCAGGAAACCATGCTGGATTTCCAATTGAATATACTAATATTAAATAAAACATCTTTTTTCAACTGGCAAGAATTGTCTGATCGTCCTAATTTGAATGCAACATTTTCATTTGGTTAAGGATAGGTAATTGTTACTTTTAAGGCAATATTAAATCGACCAATTGGTGCCATTAGATGAAATTTTGATTTCAAAGTAAGCTGAGTAAAGGAAGATGTGGATAATCATATCAGACATACATGTTTTATAAAGAAGCCTCTCATTGAGGGAGAGTCTTAACAGCATGTTATAGATAACTGCAAGACCCACAACCCGAGGTGTTGGAAGCGAGAGTAAGTAAGGAGACGTTATTTATGAATGTCTGTTTTGTTAACAAGCGTTAGGAAGCAGCTGATTCAGTTGCACAAGTGGTACTGATGGCATTATGGTCGCTGTCAACAAAGCTGGCGTTCAAGCCAGTCAAGGTAGTGGCACGTGTCAGCAAACGGCTTCACGACACCCTTAGGGGAAAGTCAAAAGGGCATTAATGTTTCTGAACACTGAATAACACATATGATGTCGCTTCTTTTTCAGCGTATTTGTGACGTAAACTTTACAAGAAAAATCTTTTAGACGTGATGAATAAGTCAAATATGCAATCCGGAGAAATGGAACGTCCTGAGTATAGATAGAGATGAACGCAAAATGATACACTGGTGAGTTCTTAAATGGTAGCCATGGCTCGGAAACGAACTGTGCAGGTTTGAGTAGAGTAGGCTTATCATCATAGGTCGCCTTGTTCACTGCTGATTGATTAAAAACAGGGTGAATCTTTCTTTTCAAAACAGATATTATTAAGCAATTAGCACACTCTCAGGTCTCATAAATTGACACTTCGCAAAAATATGTGGAATGCACAAAATTGCTACGTTCTTAGCCTAAACCTCATAACGCTGTATGTATGTCTGTATATATGTAAGTATTTTATATCATTTTGTTACAAACCGCCTGTACTAATTGGTTGAATATGATTATGTTAGTGTGGATCTGCAGAAACCTAACATGTGTTTCTGGCCTAAACTTTGTTTGTCAACAAGCGCAACACAAACAGTATTTCCCGATTTGTTAGTAGGAAAATGGGAAATGTGTGTAACATGCTTAACTTTACCATCTGAGTGATCAGAGGCAAAAGCAATAGTTGTGCTTGAAAGAGGTTGATTAGATCTTGCTTATATTTGAAATACATATACGTTAAGAGAACCATTACTGCCTTAATACGCATTACTTTGAGTCTTGGGTGTATACATCTACTTTCAGTGATTCCATTTGCCAACATTTTCAATGTGTTGGTGCAAAAAGATGGAACACAACCAAATCCAACTGATTTGGCTTGGGGAAAACAAATTAATCTTCTTCGACCCTACAAATAGGGTAGCTTAGATCCCAGCAAAATTTGAACCAGACCTGTCGGAAGAACTGAAGCGATTGGGCGAACTCCATTTAATCTCACACCTGGTGGTTAGTTGGTTCAGCTTTCGTTGCATTACAAGTGGCTGATAACGTAGTCAAATGTTATTTACCAGTTGTGGTGCGGTACCTCCTTTGTAAGGGTACATTTCGGGAAGGCGCAACCGAGTTGAGGAAAATGCGGACTACGACGCCGTATCACTTTGCGCACACTTTCCCATGTAAACCCATAAACTCGATGGCAGCTTTTATCTCATCGAACTTTTATTTCACTTTTGGAACTGCAACTGGAAGTAACCACGAGAGGAATTTTGGGAATTAGTACAAATAAAAGCATATTTTTATGAAATAGCCCGCTTAAACAACAGTCCGAGGCATTTAAGCCTTCTAACTCAGCACGCCTTACCAATACGTCCTTTGTAGTTCTGCACAACCAGTTAAAACTACTTGATACTGAGGGAACTCTAAAGCTCCTCTTTTCCACCAAAGGATTAAGCAAGAATAAGTATTTTGGCAAATTCCATTTCATTTGAACGGAACAAAGAATAAGTAGCTACACAAATGATCGGAGCTTATCTTTGGGACATGCGTAAAAAGCGATTTTTATCTGGTAGAAAATACATTAATGCAATGGGGGTATTTTAGTAGATAGGCATTGTTTGGTAAAGATCAAGATTTAAGCCAGGATTCCCTTATGCACACCTAATTTACTGTGCATCTGTCGTAGGCCTGACGAATTTGATTGTCCACTCAAGCGATTAAATACCTACTAGAGAATACTGGCAATTTTGAATCGTATTACATCGGATTATGTAAAAATTAACTTACACTGAAACCAGCGTTGTCCATTGCGTCACGACTCTGCGTAATATCTCATTATGCGTTTCGAGATAAAGGTGAATTTTTCGGTCCCGATTGTTCAACTCTAATCTTCATCGCCCCTTTACAAGTACAGGAGCGTGAAGCAGCGACCAGACGGTTGGAAATGCCAAGCTTGTGTCACGGAGCGCCTGTTAGGTGGTGAATCACCAGCCCATGTCTTGAAGGACCCCATGCTGTGCCAAAAAGACCCACTTGGCTATGGCCAAGTACAACCCTCTGTAAAAAAGTAGTTAACATTGTAAGAATTGCCTAGTGGTGAAGACGAGTGAGTGCATTTAGAACTGTCCATTTGCACAGATGATGGAAGACTTTATTTTCAATGGTCAGAACCTAGAGTAAATGAAACATGTGTTTCAAAGACACTTCGAGCAAAACAAACAAATCCTTTGAAACAGGAAACATATTGCCTTCACCGTGGGCTCATAAGTGATTGGACGGTCACAAAATAAGCAAACACCCCAGTGGCAAGCCTGGGCTTAGTAAAAATAGTACAGTAATGCTCCGTGCACCCGCGCTTCGAGATTTGCGAAATTCCTATAAGGGGCTAACATATTTAACTTCTATGGAACACGAAGTGTCCATTCTGACAAAGAAGCAGAAACGCAAGTCATTACGCTTACAGTAGCATCCATTGCTTGGTTTCACCTTACTGCAAGTGCAAAAAAAGAGGGCCATCGAATTAGTTTACAGCACGAACAACATTTGCCCGCTGTACTGTAATTGTGCTAGTGTGGCAAATAGCCACTAGCCTATATTATACTCTAGTTTTACGCTAACCATTATTTTTTTAGGGGTAGTGCATTAAACCAACCTTTACATGGGATTAAGGTACTCTAGACCATGCTTAGTATCCTACCCAGGTATCTTGTTCTAGAATCGTACCAAGCATCTGCGACTTTTTCTGATCCCCAGTGGGTTCTGGAACCTGACCCTGCGCATGTTTGGGGCGTTGCTATATGCCCATAACACCATTTCTTCCCAGTAAAAAAGCACACCTCCAATGGGAACAGTAAAGCCCCTTTCTTAACACTATAGACGCAATATTATCATCTAATAACGCAAATCACAGCTTAGCCATTTCGAATACTAAGAAGGGTTTGCTTCAGTGTACCTCCAACTGACATGTGCAAGGTCTCCGAGACCAGGGTTTAAACTATCCAATTCAACCCAGATTTTAGCAAATAAAAGAATAAGGTCCGTCCAATCTACCTGTGAAGTCAGGCTCATTGGATTACTCCACGTAGCCCCGCGCCGTATTTTTAAGTGGCCTAAAATCCTTCGGCACCAGCGGCGATATCAACTCACTACAACCTACTTAGGTACTTGGTAGTAGAACTTACATCAACTTTATCAGATGATAGCACCGCCAGGCAGAGCATCACACGACCCGCTGAGACAACCACTATCCACCAAGCCTTGACAGCTAGACTGGTTTAAAGAATTCATTGTGAACTGGTCGCTTGGATCCCGTATAATACGGGTACATCTGGTCCGCGATGCAACTTGCAGGACGTGGGAAGAAACCAATCAAACTCTACACAACCGACAAACTGTCTTGTAGAATGGCTGCACAAAGTACATCAGAACCAACTAGACGAGGTCAAAAGCAACTTAAGAAGGCCGTTAAGCACTAGTGACTAGAATTAAACAAAAAAATGATACATCAGTACCAAACTGTTGCCACCAAATGGGAAACAATCCCTACAAAGTATAAAGATAAATGTAGTACAGTCTTAGCGATAGAGATAGTCTGCATTGATATTTGCAGCTATTTCCACTTCCCACCGGTCTCCGTTTTCCAAAAGTTTCTCCTTATTGTATAAAAGCTCCTCGTGGGTTTCCGTCGAAAACTCGAAATTGGGACCCTAATGTAATTGAAGGAAAAAATACGATCAAGATACTTTTACAAACCCAACTCTAAATAACGACGAAGCACATGCAAATAACTTCGAGAGAATCAATTTGAAAACATCAGGACAAACATATAAAAAGTAAATCAGTTTGTAATACGAACAACCCCCTAAAGTCACTATTTAGCTAAATTCAGAAAGAGCCTGGAGATATGACCAAAGAGTTTTTCGTCTTACTATCTACTTTAGCTCTACACAACTACAGCAGAGCGTACCTCAACAATGGCATCAACAGGACAAGCTTCTTGGCAGAAACCACAGTATATGCACTTAGTCATATCTATGTCATAACGAGTCGTACGTCGGCTGCCGTCTTCTCTAGGTTCAGCTTCAATAGTTATAGCCTGGGCGGGGCAAATAGCCTCACATAACTTGCATGCAATGCAACGTTCCTCACCACTACCGTAACGACGAAGTGCGTGTTCTCCACGAAATCGGGGACTAAGGGGACCTTTTTCAAAGGGGTAGTTGATAGTTGCCGGCTCCTTCAGCATGTACCCAAGAGTGATACCGAAGCCCTTTATGATCTCAGTCAGCAAAAGCTTGCGTGCAAGCGTATCAACGCCTTCGACCATGGAATCATCCTCGGGTGTCTTTGAAACAATTTTGTAATTTCCAAGAACAGCTGAGGAATTAAAAGTACATCGAGAGGTGGATAAAAGACGCGCCGACAAGATCCTACATCTATGCAAACCCAATGCCGACATCCTGTAATGCGGCGCAGTGTGAATAATAAGTCAAAACAAAAAAATGCATTTCCACAAAAATATTATTTATTCTCTTTTGTTTTTTTAAGAAAAAGACAATAACATTTAAAAATTGTCATCACAGTAAAATGCTCTGCAACATTTTTTGATTTTAAATGTTAAATATTCAGAGTGTTTTGGCGGTGCTTCATGCATTTACACAGAATAAGATTTTTCAAGGCTTATTATTTTAGTTTATGGCGCGCCAGACAAAGAGGCTGGTGACTTGGTTGTGAGCTGCACTTGGCGGGTAGTGATGGCCTCCAATGACCCTGTTGGTGATCAGGCGTCTTTAGATCGGACAAAGAGAGCAAAGTTTGCTAAGGTAGTTCAATAAACTTGACCTTTTACGTTGAGGTGAAAAATAAAACCCCTGCTCCGATACAAATTACCGCCGAGCAAATTCTCAGAGAGGCCAAGAATAGGGAACTTGAGGTTGCCCCGGTGGCCCCGACCCAAAAAATCACAAATCTTGCTGAATTGCGGGATTTTCAACTTCGAAAACGCAAGGATTATGAAGACAATATTCGAAAGAACCGACTTGCCATGCAAAATTGGATTAAGTATGCAAAATTCGAGGAAAGTCAGGGGGAATTGCAGAGGTTGGTTTAATTTTCGTGTTTTGTGCTTTTTGATTTTTGCGCTCTGTATGCTTCTTAATTAGCTAGTGAAAGTGTAAATTTAGCTGCTTGCCTAACACTTTATCCAATTTATCTATTAGGTCTCTGTATCACTTGATAGCTGTTTTACATGCTGACATTTTAGTTTCAATTCCCTATTTATAGAGCACGTTCCATTTTCGAGCGCGCGCTTGATGTGGACTTTCGTAATATAGGACTGTGGCTTAAGTACGCTGACATGGAAATGAGGAACAAACAAGTGAATCATGCGCGCAACCTTTGGGATAGAGCTGTTACATTGATTCCAAGAGCCAACCAATTTTGGTATAAGTATACCTACATGGAGGAATTGCTGGGTAACATCGCAGGAGCTCGCCAAGTATTTGAACGGTGGATGGAGTGGGAACCAGAAGAGCAGGCGTGGCACGCTTACATCAACTTTGAATTACGATATAAAGAGCTGCAACGTGCTCGATTGATTTATGAACGTTTCGTCCTGGTCAATCCTGAACCCAAGAATTGGGTAAAATATGCCAAATTCGAGGAAAGGAATGGTTATATTAATTCAGCCCGGAAAGTGTTTGAAAGGGCTGTTGGGTTTTATGGAAGCGACAATCCACAGGCTCGTTTGCTCATCGAATTTGCTAGGTTTGAAGAGAGGCAGAAAGAGGTAGGCTATCTTATTTTGCGTTCACACGTTTTTCTTGCTAATTGGTCCTGTTTGCTTGGTCTTAGCACGACCGTGCTAGAGTCATATACAAATATGCTCTCGATAATCTTCCATCCAATGAATGCCCTGAAATTTATAAGGCGTTCACATTGCACGAGAAGAAGTATGGTGATCGTCTTGCGATTGAGGGAGTCATCCTTAACAAACGAAAATTCCAGTATGAGTCAGTAAGCTAATGTTTTTAGTTTTTAAATTACAAATTTACCTATTCGTGTGGATTATGTCATGATCACGTCATATGAATTCCTTGAAGTAAATGTATTCATTCTAAAATATTTTTAGGAGGTGGAAGCGAATCCTCATAACTACGATGTCTGGTTTGATTACGTTCGCCTAATGGAGGAGGAAGGCTCGGTCGAGCAAACACGAGAGCTGTACGAACGAGCAGTCGCGAATTTTCCCCCCATTAAGGTAACGGAGATGAGTTTCTGACCTTTACAATATTCCAACGTGCTAAATGGTAGCTTCTCGTGATTTTCTTGAGCTCTGAATGCGAGGATCAAGAACGTTAATGAATAATATGTAATTTCGGTTTCAGGAGAAACGCTACTGGCGTCGATATATTTACCTGTGGATAAATTATGCTCTCTATGAAGAGTTGGTAGTGGGAGATGTAGAGAGAACTCGTGAGGTTTATAACTTTGCCCTCCGTCTTATTCCCCATCGAAAGTTCACGTTCGCCAAAATGTGGCTGTATGCGGCGAAGTTTGAGATTCGTCAGAAGCAGCTGACAAGCGCTCGCAAGTTATTGGTGCGCAATGGCTTTTACTTCAATTCACACCCGCATTGAAGATTTCTCTGTGAATTAGTGAATATCGCTTTTCAGGGTTCAGCGCTCGGCAAGTGTCCCAAGGCTAAACTCTTTCGAGGGTATATTGAATTGGAGATCCAGCTGCGCGAATTCGATCGCTGTCGTAAACTTTATGGAAAATTTCTGGAATTCTCATCGGAGAGCTGCACAACCTGGATGCGTGTAAGTTTTTTAGGCGTCGCTTCTTACGCTACAAAAGCTAGGTATGAATAACACTTTTTTCTCAGTTGATTTTCCATGGTTAAGGTGGAACTGGTAGTATTGCAACAGACTGCAGAGTATTTCGGTCTCTTACTCCGCGCCTGCTTTGCTAATTTAATTCATGTAAAGTTTACCGGTACACTCGTTTTGTGATTCTACGAACGTGGTGAAAATATGAGCGTGGCCTTGGTTTGTCGTGAGACATGCATAAACTGTTCACTCGCGTTTAGTGCTTTTTAAATCCCTTGGATAGAACGAAGTTACTTTAGTGCGTACTTATTGAACTGAACAATTTTTGCAACGGTAAATCCTATGGTTTTTCCGAGACTATTGGAGGTTGTATTACTTTTTTTGCTGCATTGAATTTGCTTTGTAACGTAGTATGCAGAAATGGAGGCTCTGTTGGATGAGGTGGAGCGAGCTCGTGCTATTTATGAATTGGCGATTTCGCAACCGCTTTTGGATATGCCCGAGATTCTCTGGAAGGCATACATCGACTACGAGATCGAGCAGCGCGAGTGGGATCGTGCGCGTGTCCTCTATCGCCGTCTTATGGAAAAGACGAATCACGTTAAAGTAAGAAAGGGAATGGTCTTTTAGCTCCCGACACTGACATCTAATCCATCGCTATCCTGAGTAAATGACACGGTAATACGTCACGGCTTACTTCATTATTGAAATACTTGGTACAAGATTAGTTGTTTCTATGGATGTAGGGCTCCATGGTAGTCATAATTAATAGGTAATGTCCCCATATAAACAAGCAGTTAATCGTGTGTGAGTAATGGTTGGGCTTTTTTGGGGTCTATTATTTGTAGGTTTGGCTAAGTATGGCAAATTTCGAACTGTGCGCGCAGAACTCTGTGGCGGAGGAGGAAGAAAACGAGAGATTTTCTGGTGCCACCACTGTAGCCAATGAGCAAGAAGCGCGGGCGGCCATCGAGCGCGCTCGCGCCGTCTATCGCGAGGCTAATGTGGCTCTTTGCAAGGCCAATGAAAAGGAGCAGCGCGTCCAACTCATTGAGGAGTGGAAAACATTCGAGGTGAATTTACTGGTGTAGTATACTTGGGAGTAATCACTTAACTCCCTCCGCTATTTATGAATAGATTACACTTAATGCAATCATTCTCACCACAACTTGTCCGTCGAGAGGAAGAGAGAAAAGGAAATGCTACACTGCGAGGCTAGTCTCTCAACTGTAATCTAGTAATAGGTTAGTCCGACAAATGCGCTTAAAAGTGAGGGTGAAAAGTGTATCCACTATTGACATTGCGGAATTGATGAAAAAAAGAACCCACTTCCTAAACCATTCAGTAGCGTCTTTATATGCACTATAGGAGGAGTATGGGGATGAGGAGACGCAGAAAGAGGTGGCGGGTTTCGAGCCGCAGCGAGTGGTGCGCAGCCGTCGAGTGGAGGAGGGTGGCGCTGGCAGTGGTTGGGAGGAGTATGTTGAGTACATTTTCCCCGACACTGCCGCCGAGCAGCCGAACCGCAAGCTGCTCGCCTTCGCCAACAAATGGGCAATGCTCCACGAACACTCCGACGATGACGATGAGGAGGAGCAGGAGGTGGAAGAGAATAGCAAATATGTTACTGCTGATGAAAACGGTGTACCCAGCAATGCCGACAGAAGTACTAACGCTGTAGCAACTGAGACGGCGAGTATGAATGGAATTCACTACACGCCGGGTAATTGAGAAGTGGCTCTTTTGGAGAGATGTGTACAGCTTCGGAAATTGTGTATTATATGAAGCGAGTTAATATGCAGTGATTCACAATGCTCATTTATTATGCTGTCCGTCTAGCCCTAATTCCTGCATAACGGTATGCAGCTGATGTGTGCTTAGGTTTGAACTGTCGCATAGCATCTAGCTGGGATAATTCAAAGCATTACAATCCAGTAAATTGCACACAATTAGTGCATCAAGCCATCATCAGTAGCGGTGACTGTCTGTAATTTTTGCCTAGTGATTTCTTGCCTTCGCGGGTCGAGTCCGGCACGAGCATCACTGACATCCAAAATATGCACTTAAGAGGCCCCACTTTCATTTGCCATGCCCCTATCCATTTCAAAGCTGGCGGTTACCGTCGAAAGATCGCTGATGCAAACTTTTAAGAGAGAAGTAGCTAACGCACCTGCCCTATTTGTGGCTGGTGATGCCTGGGGTGCACAGATTGAATAAAAAACAAGTCGACCATTTAAGATGGCCCTATTTTTGGTGCGAAATTGTAATTAGGACGAAATGCAATACAGCTAAGGACGTTTTGGGAGCCACAGAACAGTCACTTCGCACGATCTTCCGTCCACAAAGTACCAATTGCCTCTCGGTTCACCCTTGTGAGACAAGTCCTAAAAAACAGGTGCTTAGTCACACATGGAACCGAAGATGAAAAATTAACAGCATGATAAACACCATCAAGCTCAATAGCAAAACATGAAAGCGGAGATCAATCACCTGAACGATTTCTTGCGATATAATTCCACCGATGATGGCATTTATTGCGACGAGTGAAGGCCCACAGCAGGATCTGTGAATGAAAAGTGCGTAAGAAGAATACAAGCAACGAGTTGTAATTATGCAAGAGCTACTACTCAAAGTCATCATCCGACAATAGTGACGTCGGAACACCGAGATTTTCTGCGACCCGAGGCCAAATTTCCTTAAGATTTTGAGTGGATATGGGACAATTGAGCTCTGAAATAACTAAAATAATAAAATTCTACAAAAGGGAACCAGCACATTTTTCACACAGTCGAAATACACATAGCCTACGTCGTGTAAGATAAAATCCTTTCGGCATTCGTTTAGCCACCAATGGCGCGTTTGTGTTAACATGCCAGTTAACTTCGAAGAAGGTCTTCAAAGAAGGGTATTCAACAGTCTAAATATGAAAGTGGTGTCAGAAAACGATGCATAAAGTCCAATTACATGAAAAGGAAACGACAGACTTACCGACCAATTTTTGTTTCCGTTGGGTGCGGCAGGAAGGGGACTGTCCGTGGCAGGTTTGGGATTCCGGATCTGCCTACAATCGTCTCTACAGAGGTGAGAAAAGATATTGAGCAGACCCATCGTGGGTGTAGCAACCAAGGTCAGCAAAGCCGACTGCATGCATCCCAAAGGACATAACACAGTGTATTTTCGGCCTATTTGGTCGACTAGTAAACTTCATAGCATAATCAGTCCAGTGCTTAAATGCTCCTTCCACCGCAATTATTACTTCATCATAATCCTGGTATTCTTTTGTGAGGAAGTCTGGACTCGTAATTTTCTCGCATCTGATATTAACCACTTCATTGAGAGCTCGCGCCCTCTTCATTGCCGAAATATTCCTCTTTCAAAGAAGTAGATAAGAACGTAAGGACTACCATCTGTCCTACATGACGTCCTTCATATAAAAAACATTGTTCGATATCGCTTTGATCAACTACTTTATCGTCACACAATGTTAACGTGTCAACTCCACAAAGAACAATGTTTTTGATGATTTCGCCGGAGACAGGTGGAAGTCCAATGAGAAGTAGCTTTGCTTTCTTTAATTTAGCTTGTGCTTCCAAACCCCACAATCGGATCTGCCGATCGTATAAAGCAGCCTCCTCTTCGGAGATGTCCTGTGAGCTCATCCACGAAGGTATGTCAGAGGTCACACTGATTCAAATTAGGCGGGTAAGTCTTAAAGTTATTTTTTTAGCTTTGCGGTGCAATTAAGCAGTAATCACTCTCAAGGTTATGTATGTCATCTAAGACTACTGATAATAGACGCATAATAATGAAGCAAATTAAATTTATCTTTATTAAAATTTTGGTTAAGACAGAAAAACAAAATTTACCAGTTTCGTTAAATCCCTTTTGTAGATCCTTTGTTGACCACCGCTTTTGTTATACTGAATACTAGCAGGCAATTTGACCTTAGTGTAATGAGCGGCATTCCAACTCTGCCTTTGAATCGGTTGCTTGTGTCTGCGACTCAATTATTGCGCAATTGTCTACTTATTTTATAAAACGGCATTTTCACTTAGTTTTTATTATAAGGCAAAAAAATTTTGCAATAAGACATACTGTTTAACTCACTTTTTCTGCCTCAACGCTGTTGTGGCATTTACGATCGTTGTTGAGTTTTTAGCACAATTGTATTAATCACTTAGGCAGAAACGTTTTCATGTTGTAACATTTGTAAAAAAATAAACAAAGTTGTTTTTTTGTTCTTTAAAAGGCTAGTTGTTTTTGTTTGCTTTCTGCAGATCAATATGATTACCTCTGCACTCATGACGCCTGATGAGAAGCGTTATTTTGAGAATTTGGTTTCTTTTAACAGCAGAGTTAAAGTGTCTTGCGTTGCGCGTCTTTACAAGGCAGCGTATCAGAGTTGGATTCTAGTTTCCTCTGGAGTTGTTACACTCGAAGAACTTTTTGTCCTAAACGTTGTGTCAATTTGTTTCTACGGCAAAAAAGTGAGTTCTAGCCTTTCAATGCAATAACAAATACCTTTTGATAATTTTAAAACACTTATTGGCAAATGTTTGATAATATGGGTGGGAGGATATCGATTTTGCTCTTTTATTTATTGAATTGGCTTTATGGGCTGATCACAATTTGTAGGCGTAATAGATGCTTTTACAAACATAAATATATCTTACCTAAACCTTTTTAATATGATTTTTCGGTCTTTTCAGCGAATTTTGAAGTTCAGTTAGTAATACGACTCGAGTTCCGTCGCAGTCGTTTGGTAAAAATGTCCTTTTTATTTCGCCGCTCTCTGTCATACACTGAAAACTTAATCTGATCTATCATAAAAAGACGAAACCAGGTCTCAAATTGCATGGTTTTTTTTAAAGATGGACTATTTTGGAATACATGTTTTGGCCGGACCCTTTGTGATGTGGAGATGGACAATACATTATAAAAAGTCTACCGAGTATTCTCTAAACTAGGGCAATATTGTTGCTTCTGACTCCCACTGCACTTTTACACATTGGTGTTGTATTAATGCTGAGTTTGTGTGCTAAATTTTATTACTGAAACACGCACTTTTTAGAGTCCCTTTATTTTAGACAAAACTGAGCTGAATAACATTTGATACAACTCTATTTTTTAAATAATCTTTTAACTTTTTTTTCTGAGAATGTTGATTTTCTCAGATCTTTGGGGTCTGAAGTGTACAGTTGCAAATCAGTCCTTAGGTAAGGAAAACCGGTGGTTCTGAAGAAGGGAAATAAACGTTGTGCAAAATTTGAGAAAGCGTTTTTTTACTTGAAATTTACAAGAAGCATTCGTGCACTTGCCCTTCGGCTGCACAGTTTTGTGTCTTTCCTTAAGGTAATTGCACATCAAGGAAGTATGTGCATGCTAAGTTGTATTTGTTCAATTAACTTAAGATATAGATTATCTGACTAAATTATGCCGTTCTCTACCCATTTGCTTATTGTTACTTATGCGATTTCAGGAGGGTAGAAAACTAATCAAGACAGACTTGTATAAAGAGATGGAATACCAACAATGTACACCTCAATTTCACTTATTCCATGGTGTGGTTTGCCCTCTCGGCTTGGCCTTTGCTTGCCCCAAGGAAGCAAATGACTTATTTACTTTTGTTCAGGCCAAAATAAATCCTCCTCCCGCCCAAAATGGGAGGTTTGCTGCTTTGATGTATAAAGCAAAAAGAGTAAGGTTTTATTAATGTGTATTTTAATGAAATGAGATGCAAAATTAATGGTACAGCTATTCTGAATTATGACATTATGACGCCTGCAATTTGCGTATTTTACCAAATAAGTGCTTAGAAGTGCAAGGTGTTTAAACTTATAACAAGAAACGATAAACTTAAATATTTTTGGCAATATTAGGCCTGGTTTTCGTGGTGAGGCATTCGTTACTTTATTCTTTTTTTATTACAGGGGATTCACGGAGTAGCTGAAAGGGTAGCGGTAAGCGAAATTACTTGGCTTGTTGCGGCTCATATAAACTATTCCAGGAGTCTGCAGTCTCAAAATTCATATATTCCACTGCTCAAGTCTGTTGTTTTTTTAATTTTTAGGGACATCTTCGAAATGAGAATCAGGTGAGTACAACTTTGTTGATAGTTATACCAGTGCCTCTATTGCTTTTAGTCTGTTAAATGGCAAATGATGCTCTATAGGCCAATGTAAAGTTTGACCAGAGTGGTTTCAAGCACATCGAGCACGTCGGCATGGATTCTAATGGAAAGGGCTTGAGAATCGAAGCGCAAACCAAAGAATTGGCCAAGGAGCTGCTTGAGGTACTCGGACTAAAAGCACAGTCTGAAATAGAGATGGCAGCCGTCATTAACCTGATTGAAAAGTGTGGAGTAACGGAGGTAAAAGCCTTATATTGGTCACTTTAGCCTTTCTTTGAAATTTTGTGGAATTTTTAAGTCCCTATTTTTATTTACTACGATATTAATGTTCCTCCACTGTGCATATTTGCGATAAAATTTTGTAAATGTGAGGATGTCTCACTTTAGTGATCGAGAGTGGCTGGCTCATAAGGTTCGCAGATAATTTGTAACTAAACTTCTGATTGCATATAAGTTAGAGTACTTATTTGGAAGAGCAAATTATTCCTCCCCCAAAAAATCTGATTCCGTAACACACTATGCTCATTTGACTATCGGTTACTTAATGAGGTGCTTTTCTGTGTTTTCACTTGAACCTACTCTTGATGGGTGGCTGTGTCGATAAACCCAGCGCCACCTTGAAGCATGCGCAAGAGGGTGTTGAAATCCTGCGCCAGTGGTACAGCGAGCAGGAGGAAGGTCTAATCAGACATCGTGTTTTAATCAACTATCATATTTTCCTTGTCTTATACGGACACATTCGCATTCTCAAGCAAAATGCGGAAAAAGGGATGGTTAACATTTCCTTGTGCAGATTGTGGGTGCAAGTGTTGCTAAAATATCATGCACCATAGCCTTTACTCCTGTCTCCGTTTTGAGAGAGTTCACTGCTTGAGATTTCAGGGGTTATGTTTGATCTGCAACCATCGATACCAAAAATGTTAATGCTCCTGCGAAACTCGTTTAAGGGTTGCACGTGTATTTCTGGCTGCCTTGTCTTCAACACGTTTGTTCTCGCCTCCGACGACGACACATATAACACAACTTCTGAACGCTACCGAAAATTTGATGGGGCATGCAGGTCTTTGGCTCCTGATTGAAATAATTCTTTATGTTTTTTACAGGTACAGGAAGCATTAGAAATTCACAACTATACGGAGTTGGAGAAGTCAACACGATCAACACCAGCAGTAACACCACCACCTGCACCACCACCACCACCACTTGCACCACCTGCACCACCACCACCACTACCATCACAACAGCCGGCCAATGATGATCGCGGTAAACTGCTCAACTCAATTGAGGGGTTTGACGTCACCAAGCTAAGACAGGTATAACACTCATTTATATTTCTCTATTTCATCACCGAAGCCCAATCACGCGGAAATTAGTGTGTTGAATGGGCAGTTCAATCCCGTCAAATGCAACCCGAGTTTTTTTTCTGTTGGAAATTACGTCTAGGTAAAAAGAGCTGACGAGCCGGAAAGCCTACCTAACAAAGGCCCCATCGCTATGGCTTCAATCCAAACAGCGTTGGCTCAAATGCTGAATGACCGTAGGAAGTATCTGGAAGGATGCGATTCAGATGAAGATACCTGACTAATAATTTCCACTTTCGTCACATTCTTGCTGTTACAAGTTCATTTATAGTTCATCTTTGGCAAAAATGCCATCGACGATGGGTTTGCATTCCTGAATTGGGAATTTCAAACCCTTTTTTGATCAAATATAAGCAGTGAAAAATTCTCGCACATGTTTTGTAAAATGTACTTACTTTCATCAGGTCGTCGTTAAACTATTTCAAGTACCAATCACAGCTTTAGTAATT